TTTTACTATAATTTAATATAAAAATAATTTCAAAGGTCGACAATAATCGACGATGGGTGGCTATTATTTTAAGTATTTTTTAAATTTAATAATAATAAAATATTATTTTATTGTTCATTTTAATTTGTTATATTTGATAATATTAAATGCCACATCATACAAAAATAATAATAAAATAATATAGAATGATCAAAACATGAATAATTCGAAAGTTTAGTGAGTAAATTAACAAAATGAAAGTACAATGAGTAAATAAGAGAGGAGTAAAGTTCAGTGTAGAGTGATGTAATTTACCCTTTCTATATATTAATTTATTTTATTTATAAAGTTATATTTTGAAATTTAAATATTACTTAAAAAAAAAGTAAGTTTTTATTCCATTAGTAGTTGGTAGCTCTAACACACTTTTCATATACATCAAATCGAATAAAGGTCAAATATTATGTTGGCTTTTAGTTAAAGCTAAGCTTTTGAATCAGTCCATAAGAGTATAGTTGAGGAAAGAAAATAAGGTCAAAAAGCATTCAAAGCTTAAATGGATATAGTTTCACCACAGTTGTATCTTATCTTATTAATTAACCAATTGCATTGTTTTAAGCATTCTGATTGGTTTATATTTCAAGCTCTAGCATTTAAACCTAATAGCCGACGCGTTTCGTTTGCGGAAACTTTCAAAATCTCACGTATGAGTTTTATTTGTGAAAATTATATGAAATTGTTTTTATAATTCTATTTAAATTTAAATTATATATACGAGCAGTACAACCAAGTGATTTCCGGTAAGTAATAAAGAAATTGTTGTTATTTCTTTAGGTCTCAAGTTCGAGTATCAGAAATATCAAATAATGAGCGTTTAATGTCAAACGGTTAAGAGTTATCGTTAAACAGATATTACATCGTACTCACTTCATATTAATAAAAAAATTATATCATGAGTAAACCTATTTCAATTAATTTTAATCTAATATTAAATATATTTTAATTTTAGTATGATCATATATTATAATATTTGATTTAAATTATAGTATTTTATGAAATATTGTTTGATTGTCGATATATTATTCAAGAATTGATCCATATAAAACCTTATATTTCTTTTTTTCCCCTTATTATATAATATATATTTATAGAAATCACTAGTTTTATTAAAACGAAAAAGTATTTAAAATCACAAAAATCGAAATTTAAATGTATAATTAAGACATTTTATTATAATCATTAACATAAGAAATTAACCACTTGAGATCAACAAGATAAAAGATAAAAACTCAACAAAAAAACACGAAAGAACGATAAGTATAAATAGATCTGACCGTATCAACAAACAAACTATAAAGGAAATCAAGCTACGAAAAGAACACTGACAAACTGCATCTTAGACGCAAGTGGCGTGAGAAAAGTACCCACAAACGTAAATTATGTATCTAAATCCACTTAAAGGGTTTAAAATAGGGAAGATTAACGGGACGACGACTAACGAGACGACAATTAAACTTCACTTTAATTAATCGAAACAAATTAAATCTAACTCTAAAATTGATTTGATAATAAACAATACTCAATCAAACCACAAGAACATGGTTGTATTTGGACAGAAGCTGGTGGCGGGTGGGAGAAAGTAGCTAAAGTTGGTGGGTTTTGAACTAGCCACCGGCTTATGCTTTGTTCTATATGAACACAACTGAAAAGCAACAAAGTTTTGCCCTTCAATGCTAAAACACACAAACTCATGTTTTTTTTTTCCTTTTCTTTCAACTTTCATTGTTTTCATGTGTCATCAATGGTTAAACCATAATCCATAGCCTTCCAATAGTATAGGGTTTGGTCTAAGTGGTGGAGCCCCATGTCCGTGTCCTCTTGCCTGAGGTTAGGTTAAGGGTCATTGTCTTCTGTGAGCTTATCTGCAGGGATGTATTAAAAAAAGTCAGTGGAAGCAATGCTCCCATATAATTTAAAATTATTATATATTTTTTATAAATTTTTTTATAAAAATATTTATTTTTATTCTCTGAAATTTTATAAACGTACATCTTTATAAAAATTTAAATATTTATCCCATCTAATATAAAAAATTATGCATCTGTCGTCGTTTATTTGGTCTAATCAATTTTATTACACTAAAATTTGTTGACATATTTTCACATTTAATCAAGCCATTACCCTTTTTAATAAAAACATTTTTCATAAATAATTTCTTATTTAAAATTTAATGACAAAAAGATATTAGAGGTCTTTGTACTTAAAAAAAACTAATGTGATCCTCATATTACTTTTCTCTAAATGTGATCATTTGACCAATGTTTTTTAATCGTTAATCGTTACGGTACTGACGTGACAGTTCACAGTGTTAACATGACAGTCCATGGTGCTAACATGACAGTCTTTAACAATAGATTAACACGCCGGATGACATGGTAAATTGATTAAATAGATAACATAAACATGACAGATGGATTGCCACATCAGCACTTGTACCGCCGCATCAATATAGTGATCTGGCACGCTAATATTATAATGATCAACGAAGAAAAAAGTTGGTTAAATGATCATATTAAATTTATTTTCTGAATTAAAATATCACATTAAAAGAAAAAATAATAATAACTACATCAAAAAAAATTAAAAGGTAAAACGACTTCCGATGTTTTTTCTATGCCAAATTTAATTGTGTAAATATAAAATAATTCGATATCGAGCAAGTAGGGATGGGCACTCAACCTGAATCCGACCCAATTGGATCGATTTTTTTTAAAAAAAAAATCAGGTTCGGGTCAGATTTTTTAAGTGTGATATTCGGGTCGGGTTAGATTCGGGTTTAGGGTAGAAAATACCCGACCCGACCCCAAAAAATATATATAAGTTTATCTTATATATTTAGGAATAATTACAATAATACCCCTCTATATATACTTTTTTTTCAATTAAGTCACTGTTTTTATTGAATAAATTTTATTATTATTATTTTGGGTCGAGTTTCTAAGTCATATATTCGGATCGAGTCAGGTCGGATGAACCCTTTTTTTGGTCGGGTCGAATCTGGTCTCGGGTAGAGGCTCCCTTGTTTTTAGGTCTGATCGGGTGGACCAAAAACCCGATCTATGTCCATCCCTACGAGCAAGTATGATTAGAGTAAGAGGCGGGATGAGTCAATTTTTTTTTACTGCTTTGATCCTGATCCAAAATTGAAGATTTTTACCCGATTCAGTCCTTTGAATATCTTAACTTTTGATAATGTTCTATTTGCCCTGATTTCATTCCAAATTTTAGAGTAAAGCTTTGTATCGATATAAAAAAAATTTGTATTCAATAAGATAGATATATAATTAAAAATACACAGAAAAAAAAATTTAAGATAATTATCTTTAAATACATATAAGAGATATCATAATAACTATATAGATCGAAACGAATTAAATATTCTTTATCACGAACTCGATCTTATCCTAATTTCAATTATCTTTCTTTATAAAAATTTCATGCTTAATTTAAAAAAAATAATTCTATAAAACAAGACAATGTTAAAATCTAGGGTAAACTCTACTTTGACTATCTGAATTATCAATCTTGATCAGTTTTAGTACTTAAACTTTCAATATTTTCAAAACTATACCTAACGTTTAGTTTTTGTTTTATTTTAATATCCTACCGTTAAAAACTTAACGCATTTAGAACTTAAACTATCAAAATTTTCAAAACTTGAGGTTTTTTAATAAAACTAAACTTTATGTATGATTTTGAAAAAAATTAAAAGTTTAAGTACTAAAACAGACCAAAACTAATAATTTAAGTACTAAACACATATTTTATCCTAGGACTATAAGATTTGAATAATTTGTTTGATGGGAGCTTGCGTTCTGAGGGTGTGAAGTGTGAACAGAGGAAAACTTGCGGTTTGCATTCATTATTTGTGATGGGAGAATGTAGGGTTTATATCCGTATGTTATGATGTGGTTTGCTGGTGGCCATTGGGCATTAATATATTTGTAGTTATTTGTTTACAAAATTTTCTCTGTGCTTTGGATAACGACAAATAACTGTTGCACTTCAATTATTTAATTTGGTTGTCAGTTATTTTTCAAATTTTCTCCTGCAATGATTTGGTTGGACTTAAAATAATAAGATGGGTGGAACGAGGGACCCTAATTGGCTGACAAAGCCCAACTTCTATTGGCCATTACCAATCAATTCGGCCATCAAAGTTGAGCAAAAGCTATAAAGCCAAATTGGGGTTTGTCTTTTTAAACCAAATACACAAACTTCACCAACAAATTCCGCACGATGTAAATGGGGGTGTACTTGTAATTCATTTTTCTTTAGGCCAACTTCCATATATTTAATCTCTCTCCTAAAGGGAATAATTAAAAAAAATTAGAATCCAACATCACAAATAGAGATGGACACAAGATAAGATAGATTGATTTTTAATCGTTTCAACCTCGATTTAAAAATTCAAATCTTTCATTCAACTTTTACTATGAATTCGGTTCTATTGGTGGAACTTAATGATAGAGTTTGGAGGGATCAACTTGAAATTTAAAAAAAATTAGAAGTTTAATTTAATTAATTTAAAAATTTTAAAAATTTCGAAGGGTTTAATTTACATATATATATAAAAAAAGTAGGGTCTAACTACATGTTTTGCAATTTTGATAGGATTAATGAATTTTTTTAAAATATATGGGATGAGATTTAACTAAGAACATTTAAAAATTTAAAGTTTAATCTGAATTTCTAAAATTTTTAAAGAGGTTAAATTAATTTTTTTTAAAAATTTCAAGGATCAAAATTATAATCTTCTAAATTTTACAAAAATATTGATCCAAATCAAAATTCAGATATTTTAATCATTCCCACTCAAAAACAGGTGAACTTTTCACGTCTATGGACAAAACTTGCAAAACGTGACATTGTTGAAGTTACAATAAAAGAATTTTACAGAAGAATCAAAACCAAATTCGTACAAAAAATGACGGTGTTTCGCCATTTTTTTCTTTTTCAAGAAGAATCAGTGGGAGTTTCTCATCTCGATCTTTAGGCAATGCTCTCAACAATGTTTCACCAGTTCACTCGCTTTCATAATCTTCTTCGTCGCCAAAACTGAAGACAGAAGCATCAGCAGCCATGGCTTTGATATCACTTGCGCCCATCAACTCCACACTGGGGAGCTCAAGCCCCGTCGATTGTTTGCCACTTCCATTAATCGCAATGTCCTTGGAACTACTATTCGATAAAAGCTCTTGGTTTTTGACTGATGGTATCGATACTACTACTTGCTCGGATGCAGGCGTCGATAGATTGCTGGAGGTCACAGGTCCGACAGCAGCAGCCCGTCTAGTTGGCTTACTTGTCGAAGCCCCTGATTCCTCTCCGTCGCTGTCTGAGAATATGTCATCGCTTTCTTCAGTACCCGAAGCTTTGCTCTGTTTCGAATTGGCTTCGACGACTCCATCATTGACATTACCCGAGTTACCCTCAGTACCTCTGTTGGCAGAATAGGATTTAGAATTTGCCTTTGGTGCGCCGTCGTAGTCTACCATTACTAGTTCAATCTTGAATCCATGATATGGCACATTCCTCTACAGATCAAAGGAACAAATCACTACGAAACATGATGTCTGAAACGAAGAAGAAACACCTTTCGCATACTCGATGCATTAGCTTCTTTAGAAAATATTTACCTTATAGAAACCATCAAGATCCGAGGCATCGAGTATCGTTCTGTTCTCTATCATTGTTGTATTTAACCAACTGAAAAAGAAGGAACAAATAAAAGGTATCAATCATATCAGCCGTGTGAAACTGTTATATACTACGTTTTAAACAGATTTAATGTCACATTAAATGTTCATGAAGAATCGATATTCATAGAGCCAATCAATCAATTGCATTACTATGGTGTACTCCTACTATTCACTTTTCTTTAATTACTTATGTCCAACTCTCATGTTCGATGCAATACAAGACATGAATACGAGAGTATGATACCCACATACGACTCCAAGTAACAGACTCATATCGGACACTCATCAAAGTCCAAGTAACAAGCAAAGAAGTTAATCCATTAAGATCAAAAACTACTACAATGAAAGTGAGTTCACTTTCATTTTAATTAAGAACCAGTGAAAAGATAAATGTTGCAGACCAGTAGAAATCGCCTTGTCGGTCATGCAAATGGATTTTGAAGTCACCCACTACTTCTGAAAGACCAGGCTCCCTGGGAAGAGCAAAAATTACTATCCCTTTCTTAGGTGCCTTAATCCAGAAATCCTCTGGCTGCAATTGCGAGTGTATTAGCAGAGTATAACAGATATCACTAAAACAAGATCCTAACAAATTAAGAGATCTTTTTCACCATTAAATTCTTTGTTTTCGGATGATTGCTTGTAGAGAAGAGAGTTCCTGAGATGAGAAAATTTCAGCTGTTACCAATTTGCAAATAATGCACTTCAAAGGAAACTGCAAGACATGCAAAACAATGATTTATCTTTTATTTAAATTCCATGAAAACAGCACATGCTGGCATTGTCATGGGGCCAAGATGTATCACGTGCTGCTTCAGGATAGGTGCGATATGATGGAATGGGCAAAAGTGAACCTAAGGTTCTTGAGAAAACTGAAAGGGGTGGAATCTTGATTAAAATTGCTTAACGATCCTATAGCATGGACTACATGAAAATGAAAGCATACCACTGTGATCAGAGATGGTAATGGAAGGCCTAATCCAGAAAGGACACTTGTGAAGCCGAAAGCCCCTAATCATGCACCTATAAAACGATAACTTCAGTACATTATTAACGGTAAATGGAACACAATTTTAAACAAATAACATACCTACGTTCAGGCTGGTTTTCTCCATGGAAGTGTGTTAGGATCTGTCCGAAGTATTTGACATATCTCTAAGAAAAACAGGAAAAAAGATAATCCATGAGAAAGGATGTCAAGAATTTATCTGCATAAATTATCATAATTTTCCATAGAATGTAATGACTGACAATCTGACTTGGGAGAACCAGAGCTTTCCCATCTACGCATCTTTTTTGGTTGAAATAATCAATCGCCTCTTCAGCTGTGGGAAAGAACTGAAGAAAGAAAAGTGATAATACAATCACAAAATGAATCGAAATGGAGCTAAAATACCCATAGACACAGTGACAAGCTAATTAAATTCCACCTTAAGGAATAAAAGAAGACTGCAAATCATTAATCCTGTCCTTCCCATTCCAGCTTTACAATGAACAACCACCACATTTTCAATGTCTTCTTTCAACCATGAGTAAGCACTTTGACAAAAGGATTTGATGAGATGAAGTGGGGGGCAATTGTGGTCATTGAATGGGAAACTTGCAACCTGTAAACAAGTTCGATGTTAGATCTTAGGGCAGCAGGAAAAATAGCATTATAAAAATCCCAATGTAGTTCCCAAAATTGCACAAGATATACCAAGCGGCATAGTTACAGACCCAAACAGCATTAAAAACATGCATATACTTGGGCCTAAAGTTGATATCTCACAAGTCGAAGCACAAACCACCGTAACACAATACGGATTTAGTGGGTAAATAGAGATGAGAATAAACCTTCCCCTGGAATAGTGATGCATCGTACAACCTCTCAGAACAAAGATTGTACACTTTGTATCTCCCCTGTACAAAGAAAATGTTGACATAAGATTAGTGATGAAACAAGGACTTCAAAAAGCTTCAGAAATCTAAGACAGTCTTACCTACTCACAGACATCATACATGCATATTTAACCCAAAAACATAGAGCAGCTAAAAGTCTAAAATGTGCTATTTCCAACTAGTAACAGAAGTTACAAAACTAAACTTAAAACTTTTTAATATGCAGAAAAAGAAATATAAAGGAAGGAAAGAGAATGATATTACTATTGAATTGCTTTTCACTAACCCTAAAATTTTGTAGCCAATGTACTTAGTCTTGCAACTGTTCCTCAACTATACTTAATCTTCAATTATGATACTATACGAGTAATGACACAACAGCACATTCTTCCATCATATTATAGACAAAACTTGAACAACTATAAATCTCCTCCATATCCATGTGAATTCTGTAAACATTTAACTGTATGATGATGTTACTTGAAACATAGAAAATATTTCCAAATAGTTCCATATTGTTTTTACTGTAATTATTTACATCTCGAAATTTATTCCCTTTCTCATCTAGTCACCCATATTATTAGTTGATGTTGAACCCCTACTTTTTTTGCATTGTTGTTTAGGGATTAACATGCAAGATTTTACAATTTGCAGATTCAATATTAAGATTCTAAAAATTCAACTTCAAAATATTTCCTTATTTAATTGAGGGAGCACCTCTGACCTCCCCCATGTTCAAGACCTATCCAATAAACAGATAAAAGAGTCCGTTATCATGCAAGCAACATCATACCTTATGATGAGTTTCAAAAAACTTGATCACTTCCTCCATTTTATTTCGGTAAAATCCCTGCATCAAATATTAAGTCCAAAAAACCACGAATTGAACTTGTGTACTAAATTTCAAGTGCAACCCACAAGAATTTTTTCTACCTCAATGAATCCAAGAAGTCCCGAGCTTAGATCACCAGCAGGAAATCCCATAGCAATTATATTCTCAGTGATATAAGTCATATCCAAATCAAATTCTCCCTCCTGTAGATGATGCATTAAAAATCTTTTCAGCATGTAATTCATTATAATATGGTGTCATATTAGATATATACATCTAAACGATAAGGAGTTTCTGATCACAGTTAGATGAATTTCATATTAATATCTAAAACCAAGATAACAGTGATGGATGTCGGAAATTTTGATAAAAATGCACCATCAACAACACAGTTAGGATACCTGGTATCTTCTTTTGTTTTGGGAAACCATATGGCGTGTTTTGACCTGCACAGCCTTCACTGCATTCAAAGATGACTCAACTATACCCTTTTTAAATGATTCAAGAACAGCTTGTGTTCCTGTAGAGGTTGGTTCTGCACGGTTATCAGGTGGTAGAGTCATCGATTGCAACTGCAATCCAAGGCCACCAGTGAGTCGTGCAAAAGCTGAGGTCCCTGCATTTCCAGCTTGAGATGCCTGAGGCGGTGCTATAGGCTGTGGTAATTTAAAATGTCTTGCCCAAGAAGATATGCCAGTGGAGGGTAAATCAGATGGTGTGAGGTCTGTTGAGGAAATGGTTTTCACAGAATCAGTAGATGCATTGTCACCAGCCTTTGGAGGTTCAAGAACATAAGCTTTGGCAGGAGGTTCCACACTGTTGACCATTGAATGACTTTTCATATCATTAGTATTTGCTGGCCGTTTAACATCAGTGCCGTCTTCAGCAGAGGTTTCAACATCAGAAGCTTTAGTTTGAGGTTGAGAGGAGGAATCAGCAGATTCTGAGTCCATTCTACTATTCAAATGCAATCAAAGTTACACCAGTAATCTGCAAAGGACAGAACACTAAAACTCTGAGTACAAAACGCATTATCAAATCATCAATGAGTTGTAATGCCGATTCAAGGAATCAATCCAAAACTAAAGCAAGAAAAAGGTATGCATTTTGCTTACTGAACAAAACATATTCTTCACACTCAAAACGTTGTCTTACTTTTTTTTTTATCCAAATAGACATTTTGCTTTCAGAAGCAAAATTTAATGGAGCCAAAGAAGTTTGAAAACATCTGAAACAAATTTCGAGCAATGAAACCATCAAAATACCTCATTTCGGAACAGTTATCGTTGACAATTACTATTAAAGATAACTGTTCCAAAATGCAATTGTTTTCGTTATATGTATAAATTTGTTGAACCGCTACTTTTGGATTGCTATTGGGAAACCAGCATTTCAAATTCAAATCAATTGTTTTCTTTTTAAGTATAAAACTAAGCACCAGAACATCCTAATTCGACAATGTGCAATTTGTAAAATAATAGATCTGGATACAAAGCTTGAATAACTTTAAATAAACAAAATCCAAAAATGTTCACGAATTTCGCATTAACAAATGCAATTAAGATTAGCGGCATTTCGATTTTGAAAAAGAAAACTTTACCAGAATTCGGATCCTTAGCTGGAATACACGCTGCAATTGTTGAAGATGAACAAGATCTTCAACTGTTTGTTGGATTTTATTTGCTTGCTTCGGAACTCGTGTACGCGGTTGATAATAATAATAATAATAATAATAATAATAATAATAATACGAATAAGCAAAACAATGGACCTAGCGGGTAAGAAATTATCCGCTAATTTAGCAAAAGTGTAAAGTATGTTGAGGTGATTGTACTTTGAAATAAGATTTTTCGTAAAAAAACTTTTAAATATTATAAAATAATAATTAAATTTAATAATATATTTCATGTAAACTTAAAAATAGTAATTAATTTTTATGAGTTTAAATATTATTATATAATATTTTGATAAGTTAAATGATTATTTTATAATAATTTGATAAATTTTAATGATTATTTTATAATAGTTTAAAATTTTAATAATTATGATATAATATTTAAAAAATTACTTATTTAAAAATGTACTTTGATATCTATTTTTTTTATCTAATTAGAAACTTGTTTAATTATTGGTCTAAATTAGTCTGTATGAAAAATGATTTATTTGGACTAAATTAAACTATGACGTTAAATTCAGATATTAATTCAAATAAAAATTTAAATTTAATTGCTTAATTAAACGAAAACATTAAATGTCAAATTAATCTTCAAGACTAAATTTAAGTATCTAATTAGACAAAAATAACCTCGAAGATACAATTATAATTACAACTAAATTCTTTTCCTTTATACTTCTATAATCATATTTACTCTAATTATTCTAAAGTGAGTCGATTCGGATTTCAAATAAAATGAAAATTCATTTCAAAGAATGCTTTGCATCGACGGGAGGTGCAACATTTCTTAATGCCAATACCTTCACGTTTGAAAATCCAAATATTTTACTTATTTTAAGTTCTTGATTAAGCTGATTTCTCGAGTTAATACATTACTAATTTAGGTGGATAAATATTGAAAAATCATTATTTTAATTGATAATGATTATTATAACGATGGTATTTTTGTATTTAGATTATGGAATTAGACGGGCTTAATCAAGATGAACTTCCCTTACAATGAAGCATCTTTGACAATCCCCGGACCTGCAACGTCGTGAAGATTTTTGGTGGATGGCAAACCGGCTATGACATCGGATTCGATACCGCACTAATCTACGCCCCTTATGATCTTGAAGTAACCGTCCTGTTCCGAGTAACACGATCGTCAACATTCGAGCATCGTACAGACGGTTTTCAAACGAGTACGGAGACAAAGTTCGATGGAAAACTTACGTCACCCCAGCTTCTATTCCACTGGTTTGCAAGAAGCTGCAATGGAGGAAAAGATGAAATATCAAGATATTCAATCAAGTATATGATTCTGAGATATTTGACGGAAGATCATAAAAGCCATTCAAACATACCCAATAATCTCGTCCATCATCTGAAGTTCCCCATCGAATTAGCTTAACTGAATGGCCTCCCAAAAAATCGCCTGTCACATGTTTGTAAACTCCCGACTTGTAGTGAGCAAAATCATGTAAAAATCACAAAGAAGCTTATAAAGCTATAATTGCTCGGCCTCTTCATTTTTCTTGAAGTATCCGTGTCCGACGCTCATTGTCAACACATGGATAAGGGGATTCATTTTACTTCAAATACAAAAAACATGGCAGGTTTTTCTTTACCTCATAAACATTGAAGGAGATCTGAACTGGTCCATTCTTATAAATCTCTGCCATGATATCAGCTGGGTTTGAGTTGATCCTATATGCATCGACACTGTAGTGTTTCGATTTATTCCAGAGAAGGTTCCCCTTAACACATTTAGGAGTCGGATATACAGGCTCGCAACCAGAGTGAGAACATCCAATCTCATCAAAGTATGAATCACACTGCAAGATGAAGAATATAATATTAAGGGGCAAATTAAATTAAGCCATAAATTCAGCACTAAATCAGCCTAGATGTACTCTAATACAGAGAAATCACCAGTTTTTTAATGAAACAATCTTATCATTTCATGTTTATTCAGAGCATTTGTTTTTGTTTGAAATGCCTGTGTAACAGTTTTTTTCTACCATATCCGGATAACCCGATTTTAGTACGGGGAGATGACCCCCAAAAACTTTGCAAACTTATACCTATATCCACCACTCACAAACAAATCCAAGTAACGTACTTTCTCAAGGAAGATTGTGCTTGTAAAATGAATACCTCTTCGGAGAACACCACTGCCCACCAAGTATTTCCATGCAGAGAGTCGATAACCTCCATCACAGCCAAGTCCACATTGAAAGCCACAGCACGCAAGTAGATCATTAACAGACAGAGAATGTTCTGTAATGAAGGATTTTGCTAGTTAAAATTAATGTCCACAAACAGTAAATGCTATCTCTTTCTTTCCTTTTTAAAGAAAAAGAAAAACGAGTTCATTTACCAAGCCAAAATGTGTACAGAAACGATCAGATAGTGCTTCAACAGCACCTAACGCCAAGAACCACAGTGACCCTAAAGCATAAGCACAGTTGTACATACTAAGAATTTAATTATACAAGAACAAGATATTAAAATTGAGAGATGAAAATGGAGTTAACTTATCTTTAATATAGAAACCAATCCGAGAATTGGTTCAACATATAAAGAAGAAAATCACCATCAGTCCAAATTGTTCAAAAGGTCACAAAATTTGTAAACCAGCACATAACTCACCGAGAATTCTTCCGATTGATCTACATTTTGGCCAAGCTGTTCTAGCATCGAAAGTAGTTGGTAATTTCAAGGATTTGTCATGAGTTACCACAGGAATGCCCACAAGTTCTTTCTTAGGTGTTGGTTTGACTCCAAAAAGGTGCTTAAACTCACCAACCTAAGCATCAAAACAACAAATTTGGACTAGTAAGAATAGAGAAATAACGGCATAAACGAGAAAGATCAGTGATGAGGTCCAAAGTTGCGAAATTACAGTGTAATTAGAAAACCTTGGATTCAGGGCAGCTTCCCATCCAGGCTTGGGGTTTTCATTGACTTGTTTTACAATTGAATCCTACATGATCATGGCGAGAGTAAACAATCAATGGCTATCTACTTAACAATTGAAACTCCCTTTTTTCTCTAAAGGCATCAACCCGATAAAATACTTGAATGATCTGAGAGTTAAGCTTGAGTTCTGAAAGTTGTTCCACAGCAGTCACCTGCCGATAATAAAGCATCAATTAAGGTCAAATTACAAACCCTAGGGGATGAAACTATAACAATCACATCAATGGTTTATCTAGCAAACAATGATGGCAGCCATACGTATAAAGCAAATCTACCAGCAGTCAAATAAACTCCCCTGAAGTCTCTCATTGAGAAAACCAGCTTTTGTTCATTTTATATTGAACTAGTTTATTTCTTTGAATCAAACACATGGTGAACTAAGAAAAAAAAAATAGTCTTTTCACCACTATTGAAACTCTATCTGGCAGAACATGGGTTCTAGATATTGTTACCAGTTATCAAAATCAAAACGGTACCAAACTACACTCATATATACCCCAAACAAAACAAAAAAAGAAGAAGAAAAGTCGGACTCAGATTAAGAAAAGGAAAGAGAGATCATAAAATACCTTTGGGTGAACCATGGAGAGAAGCAACAAAAAGGTAGCCAAAAAAAAGGGGGAAGCCATATCCTTCGTTTCAAAAGAAAAGGAGAAAAGAGATACTGAGGATTACAAGGGTCCTATTGCTTGAGAGCATACCTTTTTATTAGGATTGTTAGCAAAACGACAGAGGAGTTTAAATGGTAAATCAGACATAAAAAAAAGCTTAAAATGGTAATGACATACCAGCCTTTGGAGGTTCAATATCATAAACTTTGACAGGAGATTCCACATTATTGCGTAATTTATGACTTTTCATATAATTAATATTAGCTGGCCGTTTAAATTCAGTGTCATCTTCAACAGAGGTTTCAACATCAGAAGCTTTACTTCGAGGTTGAGATGAGGAATCAGCAGATTCTGAGTCCATTCTCTACCACTCAAACTCTATCAAAGTTACAGCTGTAATCTGGACAAATGACAGAACACTAGAACTAAGTAAAAATCGCATAACATAATCATCAATGAGTAGCAATACCGATTCAAGCAATCAATCCAAAATTAAACCAAGAAAAAAAACATGCATTTCGGTTACCGGAACCAAAAAAAATATTCCTCATTCTCACAACATTGTCATTTTGCTTTAGGAAGCAAGAAAAATTCAATGGAATCAAAGAAGTTTGAAATCCTCTCCAACAGATTTCCAGCAATGGAAACATCAAAATACCAGATTTTTAACAGTTATCATTGGCAACTACTATTGAAGCTTAATGAATTTCAGTCCATTTTAAAAAAACTACTGTTGAATATAAGTGTTCCAAAATGCAATTGTTTTCGTTATATGTATAAATTTGATGACTCGCAATTTTTTCATTGCTCTTGGGAAACCAACATTTCAAATCCAAAATGAAATCGTTTTCGCTATACGTATAAATTTGATGAATCGCTACTTTTGCATTGCTCTTTTGGGAAACCAAAATTTCAAATCCAAAATGAAATTGTTTTCTTTATGTGTATGAATCTAATTCGACAATGAATTGAAATGCAATTTGTAAAAGATTAGATGGAAACAAAACTTGAATAACTTTAAACAAACGACATCCAAAAACGTTCATGAATTTAGCATTAACAAATTCAATTCAGTTTAGCGGAATTTAATCTTGAAAAAGTAAACTTTACCAGAATTCGGATCCTATATACGCTGCAATTGTTGAAGGTGAGCAATATCTTTTACTGTTTATTTGACTTGATTCGCTTGCGACGAAGCTCATGTCCTCAATTGAAAATAATAAATAAGAAGAAAGAAAAAATGGGCCTCGCGGGTCAGAAATTAACCGCCAATTTAGTAATTATGCTCGGTGATGGATTAACGATTATATCAACGGTCGAAAGCTCCATCCTTTTAGGAACATCGAACCGGGTTTGGGCTGCTTTTAGATGACAATCATGAATCCATAAATTAATTATTTTGTTTAAAATATAAAATAGATATGAAAGATATCGTAATTATATTAAATATATATAATTTTAATAACGGTTATTTTTTTCTTTTATTATTTTTCTTACTTTTTGTGTAATTTTATAACTTTTCGTTTAACTTTAGTGCCGAAGCTGCCTAATTCTTGTTTGCTAAGAAATAAAGGCCCATTTTTTGTTGCTATGTGGTTTATGAAACCATTACAAAGGTTCTGGTTTTCAGGCTTGTTGATTACTTCTCTGATTTGGTTGCTCTCAATCAATCAGGTTTTGTAAAGGGTAAGAGCATAATCGACTATATTTTACTTGTTTAAGAATTTGTGAGGGACTATGGCAGGAGTAGCTTTCTCCCATTTATGTCATAAAGGTGGACTTATATATGACATTTGACTCCCTCAGTTGAGATTTTATTTTGGATGTGTTGGATGCTTTGGGATTGGTTGTGAAGTTTAGGGACTAAATTATGGCATGTATCATTGATTCTAGGTTCTTCATCTCTTTTAATGGCAGTTTGGTTGTACATTTCAGAAGAGGGGTGTAAGGCCAGAAGATCTTTTTTCCCCTTACCTTTTTGTGCTCGTCAAGAATGTCTTTACTGGGTTGTTGAATGAAGCTATGAACCTAGGGGTGTTTAATTATCATCCTAAGTGTAAAAATGTTGGATTGATTCATTTGTTCTTTGCAAATGGTATTCTAATCTTTTGTAAAGGCACTCTTGATTCTATCTTAGGAGTAAAGTGTATGCTTGGGAAGTCTTATGAGTTTTCAGGGTTGAGACTTAATGCTGCAAAATCTGAATTGTTTACTTCAGGTGTTCCAGCTGATCAATTGGGGCTTATACAGACTGTGACTGGATTCCAGCTTGGGATGTTGCCTATAAGGTACTTGGGGTGCCTTTTACCCCATATAAGTTGGCAATTAAGAACTGTGACAGCCTGGTGGAGAAAGTGATGGCAAAGCTGGGACAGTGGTCAAACAGGTTCCTCGGTTATGCTGGAAGGTTACAGCTCATTGGAGCTATGCTGTTTAATGTGACAGATTTTTGGTGCAAGCAACTTGTGTTGCCTACTGCAGTGGTTGAACGTGTCGAGCAGATGTGTGCTAGCTTTTTCTGGAAAGGCAAAGATGTCCCTGCTAGGGGGGCCAAAGTGAGTTGGGATAGTGTTTGTTCCTAAATATGAAGGGGGCTGGGAATCAAGAGCTTGAAGTGCTGAAATAAGGCCAGTATGCTTACCTTATTGAAGAATATCCTTGTTGGTGGCTTGGGTTCGAGAGTACATATTTAATGGTGTAGATGTTTGGCAAGTGGTCAACAAATCAAACTTCCGTTGGGGTTTAAGGAAAATTCTGAAGATGAGAAGTGAGGTTCATAGTCTATTTGTTGCTGCTAACTGGTCGATTATGCAAACTAGGTGGTTTTGGAATGAGAGAAGGGATAAAAGGGAGAAGGTTGAGTGACACAGATTGCTGTGATTTTCAATGAACATCCCTAAACATTCTATCATTGGCTGGATGGCAATCCCAGATAGGTTGCCCATTGCGGACAGAATGCTTAGGATGGACATTCTTGTTGATGACCTTTGTAGGAATTGTGGGTGCATGCAGGAGACCAAGAATTATATTTTCTTCGAGTGTGCTTATACGAGGGAAGAATGTAGGGTCATTCTCAAGCTGTGCACTCTTCATCGTAAGGTGAGAAATTGGGATGGTGAGGTAGCCTGGGCTGTGATAGTTTTGAAAGTCAAATCCTTAATTGTTTTCATCCTTAAAGTTGCTTGGTGTGCTTATGTTTTCTACATATGGGAGGAGAGGAACTTCAGGATGTTTAGGGGGACGATTAGGTGTATAAGGGACATTGTTGGTTGTATCATGGATGCTGTTAGAATTAAAATGCATAGAAAAGTAGTTAAGAGCGATCCTGTCTGGTTTTTTATACTGCTTGGGGGATTCAAATTTAATTCCTCGTTTGTGTTGTTTGTATAGTAGGTTTGTAACATGTTGTTTCTCCTTGGCAAAGAAATTCATCCAAAAAAAAGATTACACTTGTCCCAATTATTAAAAAATTGAGTCGATTTGAATTCCAAAGAAAAATAAATTTTCTCAACACTTCTTACCCCTAAAGTTACTGACAAAGAATGCTTTGAGGTGAAGTGGCATGCACCGTTTCTTATTGCCAATCTCATCATTCCCGTAAAATGCATTTTACAGGTGATAATATTAACCAAGCAGTGCATTTTGTGTTCATTAAATTTAGTTTTCAATTGTACCTTTTAAAGAATGCTATATGCACTTATTTTAAATATTTTATTAAAACGATTACCATTTTAGAAACATAAATACTGAAAAATCATTATTTAAATGGAAATAATTATTATTACAATAATAGTTTTAACTTATGATATTAGGCAGGCCTAATCAAGATGAACTTCTCTTGCTATGAAGCATCTTTGACAATTCCCGGATCTCAATTGCCACCCTCATTAACAAGATTTTTGGGGGATGGCACACCGGCAATGGCATCGGATTCGATACCGCACTCATCTACGCCCCTTACGATCTTGAAGTAACCATCCTGTTCCGAGTAACACGATAGTCAACATTTGAGCATGGTAAAGACAGTTTTTAAATGAGTACGGAGACAAAGTTAGATGGAAAACTTACATCACCCCAGCTTCTGTTCCACTCGTTTGCAAGAAGCTGGAATGGAGGAAAAGATGAAATATCAAGATATGCAATCAAATAATGATTCTGAGATATTTGGCTGAAGATAAAAGCCATTCAAACATACCCAATAATCTTGTCCATCATCCGAAGTTCCCCATCCAATCAGCTTAACAGAATGGCCTCCCAAAGAACCGCCCGTCACATGTTTGTAAACTCCGGACTTGTAGTGAGCAAAATCCTGTAAAAAGCACGAAGAAGCTTAGAATATAAAACCTTGTTCTCGGACTCTTCATTTTTTGGAAATGTATTGTCCGACACACATTTCCCATGCATGGGATTCACGCCAAGCAAACCACTTTGGAATTGTTCACCAAGAGCAGCAGGAAACTCAACAAGAAAAGTTCTTTACCTCATAAACAGTGAAGGAGACCTGAACTGGTCCATTCTTATAAACCTCTGCCATGATATCATTTTGATTTGACTCGATCCTATATGCATAGGAACTGTAGTGTATCGATTTATCCCAGAGAAGGCTTCCATCAACACACTTTGTCACACAACTGGGAGTCGAGTATACAGGGCAACCAGGGTGAGAGCAACCAATGTTATCAAAGTATGGATCACACTGCAAGATGGAGAATATAAGATTAAAGAGCAAATTAAGTTGAGCTATAATTTTAGCACTAAATCATGCTAGATGTCCTCTAATACAGAGAAATCACCAGTTTTTTTAATGAAACAATCTTATCATTTCATGTTTACTCCGGGTATTTGTCTTTGATTGAAATACCTGTGACCAACAGTTTTTTCCTACCATATCCGGATAACCGGACATGAGCATGGGGATAGCACCCCCCAAAACATTGCAAACACCACTCACAAACAAGTCCAAGGAACATACTTTCTCAAGGAAGATTATGCTTGCAAAAATGAATACCTCTTCAGTGACAACACCACTGCCAATCAAGTATTGCCATGCATAGAACGGATACCCTCCACCACAACCATCTCCACAGTCAGAGCCACAGCATGCAAGTAGATCATTAACAGACAGAGAAACGTTCTGCAATGAAAGATTTTGCAAGTAAAATTCAATATTAATAAACTGTAAATGCTCTCTCTTTTTCTTTCTTTCTTTCTTTTTTAAGGAGAAAGAAAAAAATGTGTTTCATTTACCAAGCCAAAATGGACACAGAATCGATCAGATAGTGCTTGAACAGCACCAAAAGCCCAGCAAGAACCACAGTGACCCTAAAGCATAAGCACAGCTAAACGTACTAAGAATTTGATTACAAAAGAACAAGATATTAAAGTTGAGAGAAATGAAAATGGAGTTACCTGATCTTTAATATAGAAATCGATCCAAGAATTGGTTCAACACATAAAGAATAAAATCATCAGTCCAATTTGTTAAAAACGGTCACAAAAGTTTTATAAACCAGCACATAACTCACCGAGAATTATTCCGATTGTGCTACATTGTGGCCAAGCTGTTCTGGCATCAAAAGTAGTTGGCAAATTCAAGGATTTGTCATGAGTTACCACAGGAATGCCCAGAAGTTCTTTCTTAGGTGTTGGTTTGACTCCAAGAAGGTGCTTAAACTCACCAACCTATGCATCAAAACAAAAAATTTGGACTGGTAAGGTTAGAGAAATAACAACATAAACGACAAAGATTAGTGAAGAGGTCCAAAGTTGCTGAATTACAGTGTAATTAGAAAACCTCGGATTCAGGGCAGCTTCCCATCCTGCCTTGGGGTTTTCATTGACTTGTTTTACAACTGAATCCTACATGATCAAGGTGAGAGTACAATCAATGGCTATCTGTTTAACAATGGAAACTCCCTTTTTTCCCCTAAAGGCATCAACCTGAGAAAATACCTGCATGATCCGAGAGTTAAGCTCGACATCTGAAAGTTGTTCCACAGCAGTCACCTGCGGATAATACAGCATCAACTAAGGTCAAATTGCAAACCTTGGGGGATGAACTAGAACAATCAAATCAATGGTTTATCTAGCAAATCAATGATGGCGGCCATACGTATAAAGCAAATATACCAGCAGTCAAATAAACTCCCCTGAAGTCTCTCATTGAGAAAACCAGTTTTTGTTCATTTTATATTGAACTAGTTTATTCCTTTGCATCAAAGACAAGGTGAACTAAGAAAAAGAATAGTCTTTTCACCACTATTGAAACTCGATCTGGAAGAACATGGGTTCTAGATATTGTTACCAGATATCAAAATCAAAACGGTACCAAATATACACACATATATAATATACCCCAAACAAAACAAAACAAAACAAAAATCAAAATCAAAATCAAAACGAAAGAGAGACCAGAAAATACCTTTGGGTGAACCATGGAGAGAAGCAACAGAAAGGTAGCCAAAAACAACAGGGGGGAAGCCATATCCTTCGTTTCAAAAGTAAAGGAGAAAGGAGATGCTGAGGATTACAAGGGTCCTACTGCTTGAGAGCATCCCTTTTTATTAAGATTGTTAACAAAACGACAAAGGAGCTTATATGGTAAGTCAAACCCAAAAAAGAGCTTAAAATGGTAATGACAACATCAGTCTTTGGAGGTTCAATATTATAAACTTTGACAGGAGGTTCCACATCGTTGCCCAATGAATGACTTTCCATATCACTAATCTTAGCTGGCTTATTAACTTCAGTGTCGTCTTCTGCAGAGGTTTCAACATCAGAAGCTTTAGTTTGAGGTTGAGATGAGGAATCAGCAGATTCTAAGTCCATTCTACAACTCAAATGAAATCAAAGTAACACCTGGAATCTGGAAAAAGGACAAAACTCTAAACCGAGTAAAAATGGCAAATCTATTCATCAATGAGTTGCAATGCCGATTCAAGCAATTAATCCAAAACTAAACCAAGAGAAAAGCATGCATTTCGTTTACCAAAACCAAAAAAAAATCTTCATTCTCACAGCATTGTCATTTTGCTTTAGGAAGCAAAAAATTCAATGGAATCAAAGAAGTTTGAAATCCTCTCTGACAAATTTCCAGGGATGAAACCATCAAAATAACACATTTTTGAACGGTTATCATTGGCAACTGCTATTGATGCTTAATGAATCTCAGTCCAAATTAAGGAAAAAAAACTACTATAGAAGATAACTGTTCTAAAATGCAATTGTTTTCTTCATATATATAAATTTGATGAACCGCTACTTCTGCATTGCTGTTTTGGGAAGCCAAATTTTCGAATTCAAATTCAATATGAAATTGTTTTCTTTATATGTATAAATTCGATGAATCGCTAGTTCTGCATTGCGCTTTTGGGAATCCCAAATCCAAAATGAAACTGTTTTCTTTATGTATATAAATCTAAGCACCGGCACATCCTAATTCGACAGTGAATTGAAATACGATATCTAAAAGACTAGATCTGAAAACAAAGCTTGAGTTAAACAAACAAAATCCAAAAAAGTTCATGAATTTCGCATTAACAAATGCAATTAAGATTAGTAGCATTTGATTTTGATAAAGAAAACTTTACCAGAATGCGAATCCTGTATCGCTGCAATTGTTGAAGATGAGCAAGATCTTTTACTGTTTATTTGATTTGATTCGCTTGCGCCGAAGCTCATGTCCGCAATTGGAAATGACAAAGAAGAAGAAGAAGAAGAAGATAGAAAAACAAATGGGCCTCGCGGGTTAGAAATTAACCGCTAAAATAGTACTTATGCTCGATAATGGGTTAACGATTATTACAACGGCCGAAAGCTCCATCATTTTCTACAAACCTCAGCCCGAGGAACAACGAACATTGTCGTTGGGGCAACGGGTTTAAAAAAAATTGGAGAATTAAATTTTAGGATTTATGCTGTTTGTTATAATACACTAACATGTCAAGCCAAAAGTTTAAAGTTGAGCAACCAATCTCGTAAATTTGATAATGTCGATTGATCTCAACGATGAAAATAAAAATTTATTTTCTCTTAAAATTTAAATTTAAATAATTATGTCTAAAGAGTGTATATACATTATCAATGATTAAAATATTAATTATTAAGAAAGATTTTAAACAAATATTATCGTATAATAATCTTTTATTATTTAAAAATAATTATAATAATGGTTAACTTTTTATTTAGTTTAAATATATATTTAAACTCTGATTATATCTTTTTTATGGTGGTATTTAAAGAATTTTGTTAAAGTCTTTTTTGTTGATATATCTAGGATACTTATAAGTTGTATCAAATGTTTGTTATCAAGTTAGTATTCCAACTTTAATTTTTTTTCTATTATTTTAATATTTTTATCAATTTTAATTTTTGATGATTTAATAACATAAGATTATATTAAATTTATTAAGTAATCTCAGTGGTTAAAAGGAGTGTTATTCTCTCTAAAAGTCATGATTTTAATCAAATTACGTTTATAAGTGTGTGTACTTTATCGATAGTTAAAGAAAATCACCCTAGACTATTAAATTTTTTTAAAATTGTATCATATGCTAATAATAATGTTTTTTTAAAATATAATAAATTATAAAAAATAATAAAATATTTAAAATAAAAATGAATCAAAATCAATCGACTAATCTTACCAATTTTTCTCTAATTGACTAATATGATTTTACTCATTTATTTATTTTATTCAAACCTTCAATATGCTTTTCATTTTAGCATTGAATAAAATTTAATATTTTAAATATTATTACAATATCTAAAGATTATGATGCACAACATATCTACATACAGCATGATGTTCTTGCAGGGCGAGCATCGCACTTGAAACCCCAAAAGTGGAAACAAAGATAAACAGTTCATTCACTAATACATTATTACATTAGGTAGCCCTGTCTAGATGAGCATTCTCTTAGAACGAAGCATCTTCGACTATTTCTGTATATGCAACCTCGTGAACGAGGTTTTTGGTGGATGGCAACCCGGCAACAACATCAGATTCGATGCCACACTCGTCTACGCCCCTTATGATCTTGAAGTAACCATCCTGCAACGAGAAATAAGATAGTCGAATGCTTAAGCATCATAATAAAAGGGTTTTAAACTAATATGGAGACGAAGTTTGATGGAAAACATACATCACCCCAGCCTCTATTCCACTGGTTTGCAAGAAGCTGCAATGGAGGAAAAGGTAAAACATCGAAATATTAACTCGAATCGGTATACGATTCTAAGATATTAGCCTAAAGATAAAAGCCATTCAAATATACCCAGTAATCTTCTCCATCATCTGAAGTTCCCCATCCAATCAGCTTAACTGCATGGCCTCCCATAATGCCTCCCGTCACATGTTTGTAAACTCCCGACTTGTAGTGAGCAAAATCCTGTAAAAAGCACGAAGAAGCTTAGAATCTAAAACTATGTTTGCTCGGCCTCTTCGTTTTTCTTATCCATGTCTGAGGCTCATTTTCAACGCATGGATATGGGGATTCATTTTTCGTCAAACTACTTTGAAATTGCTTATCAGGAGGAGCAGGAAACTCAATAAGAAAAGCAACGAGTTCTTTCTTTACCTCATAAACAGTGAAGGCGACCTCAACCGGTCCGTTCTTGTAAATCTCTGCCATGATATCAGCTGGATTCGAGTTGATCCTATATGGGCGAACACTGTAGTGTTTTGATCGCTTCCAGAGAAGGTTTCCCTTAACACACTTTTTAACACATCTGGGAGTCGGATATGCAGGCTCGCAACCGGGGTGAGAACAACCAACGTCATCGAAGTATGGATCACACTGCAAAGTAAAGAAAATAAGATTAACGGGCAAATTAAGGTAAGCTATTATTTTAGTACTAAACGACGATAGATGTCCAGAAGTTTTAATCTAATACAGAGAAATCACCACTCATAAACAAGTTCGAGTAATGTAGTTTCCTAACATTATACTTGTAAATTTCAATACCTCTTCCGTGACAACACCACGGCGCGCAAAGTATCTCCATGCAGAGATCGGATACCCTCCATTACAACCACTTCCACATAGAAAGCCACAGCAAGCAATGACATCATTAGCGGACAGAGATATGTTCTGTATAGAAAGATTTTGCAAGCAAAAATTAATGTCCATTATTTATAAATGTTATCTATTTGTTTCAAAAAAATGAAAAAGCAAGTCTCATTTACCATGTCAAAATGGATACAGAACCGATCAGATAGCGCTTCAACAGCACCGAAAGCCCAGCAAGAACCACAGTGACCCTAAAGCAAAAGCACAGCTAAACATACTAAGAATTTAATTATACAAGAACAAGATATTAAAATTGAGGGAAATGAGAATAGAGTTACCTGATCTTTAATATCGAATTTGATCCAACAAACAATTCATCATATAAAGAAGAAACGTCAACAATCCAATTTGTTCAAAGTCGCAAAAAAATAATAAACCAAGTTCAAGACAAAACTCACCGAGAATTCTTCCTATTGTACTACACTGTGGCCAAGCTGTTCTAGCATCAAAAGTAGTCGGCAACCTCAAGGATTTGTCATGAGTTACGACGGGAACTCCCAGAAGTTCTTTCTTAGGTGTTGGTTTGACTCCAAGAAGGTGCTTAAACTCACCAACCTTTGCATCAGAACACAAATTTGGAAATAATAAGCATACCCAAATAGCGACATAAGCGGGAAAGAACGGTGAAAAGGCCCAGGAATTTGCCGACTTACGGTGTAATTAGAAAATCTAGGATTCAGGGCAGCTTCCCACCTGGCTTTGGGGTTTTCATTCACTTGTTTTACAATTGAATCCTACAAGATCATGTCAGAGTAAAAAATCAATGGCGCTCCATATAACAAATGAAACCATTTTCTCTTCTTAAACACATCGAACCGAGATAATACCTGAAGGATTCGAGAGTTAAGCTTGACTTCTGAAAGCTGTTCCACAGCAATCACCTGCTGAAAATACAGTGTCAACTAAGTTCAAATTGCAACTTCGGGGGCTGAACTATACCAATATAATCGAATAGTTCATCAGCAGCCAATAAGCTCCCCTGAATTCTCCCGTTAAGGAAACAAATTTTATTTTCTGTTTATATTGAATTAGTTTATATCCTTTCATCAAGCACATGGTAAGCTAGGACAAAAACAAAACAATCATCTTTTCAACAATTTCAGCTTAAACAAGTCAACCATTAAAGAGTTCCAATCTGAAGTAAATAAGCTCCTCTGAAGTCTCTCGTTGAGGAAAAAACATTTCTTTTCAGTTTCTATCTTTGCATCAAAGACAAAAATTACTCGCCTTTTCACCACTATCAGCTCAAAGAAGTCAACAGTTGAAGAGTTTCGATCTAAGAGATGGAAACCAATCCGGTAGATTCTTAGATGTTATTACCAATTATCAGAGTCAAAACAGTATCAAATCGGACCCAATTTAAGAAAACGAAAGAAAAATCGGAAATTTACCTTGGGGTGAACCATGAAGAGGAGCAACAAAAAGGTAGAAGAAAACAACAGGGGGAAAGCCATATCCTTCATCTCCAAATTAAAGGGCAAAAAGAGATTGGGGATCACAAGGCCTACTGCTTGGGAGCTTCCTCTTTTTGTTAAATATTGTTCAGAAAACAACAAAGGAGCTTAAATGGAGAAACTTCAAAAAAGTCCCATACTAGACGGAATCATTGCGTGTTGGGGGTATTAATTATTGGTTTGTTTTTGGACTTTAAAGCGGCTGTGGCGTCGAAATGATGGAAATTGTGACACCCATTATCGTGGCATTTTAGCTATCCGCCATTGTTAATTCTATCTAATAAGATATTCTTTTCTTCCAATTATCAATTTATCTTATCCTATTTTAATGTTGTGTATAAAAAAATACATGTGTAGCTAACAACTGCTTTTGGTTGGTGGCTAATGTTATTAACTTATTTTAATTATTTATAAGATAAAGTACATAAATGATTTATCGATTATAGAGTATTATTTTATTAAATTTATTTATTATTAAAAGTAATAAAATAGTCCTTCGATTATGGAATATTGCTTTGTTGAGTTTTTCGATTATCAAAAGTTACAAAATGGTCACCTAATTATTCATTATGTTCCAAATCTTTCATTTTCTCTTAAAAAATGACGGTTGTCTATGTTAGATATGATAATTGAGATGTGATAATCATTTGAAATTTTGGGATTATATTTTATCATATCACAAAAAGTAAGTTAACGTTCAGCTCAGAATTTTGTTAATATCTTAACGGAAAAGAATGAGTTTGTAGCATAATGAATAGTTTAATGATCATTTTGTAACTTTTGATAACCGATGGCCTCAATGAAGTAACACTCTATAATTACAAAATTATTTTATAACTTTTAATAATAGATAAATTTAATAAAATAGTATTCTATTGTCGGGATCATTCTTGTGTGTTACCCTTATTTATAATAGAAGAAATAAACTAAATAATTTTTGATAATTTGAAAATATTATTTTTTTATAAAATATTTTCTTATAATCGATCCATTGCGAGTCTAAAATCTAATTAACTAATATAAGCAAACTTTAGCCGCGCAAATTCATCCTTCCCCTTCTCCTATTTTTTATTTTTATTTTTTATTCATCAAATTGTTTTAAAAAATAATCTTTAGTTTTTCTATTATCGTTCTTAATTTTAACTTATACATTAAAATTTAGAGTAGAGAATGCGAATGGTATTGTACTATTTTATTAAGTCATCCAATTATTAAAAGTTATAAAATAATTTTTCGATTATAAAGTGTTGCATTGTTGAGTTCCTCAACTATAAAAAGTTACAAAATGATCATTAGACTATTTATTATATTCTAAACTCGTCCTTTTTCGTTAAAAATTGAACGATATTCTGAGTTGAACGTTAACTTGTTGACCGTGATGTGATAAAATTTGATTCCAAAATCTCAAACGACTATCATATCTCAATCATCATGTTAACATCCAGCTTAAACAACCAATAATTTTTTAATAGAAAATGACGAGTTTAAAACATAATGAATAATCAAGTGACTATTTTATGACTTTTAATAGTCGATAAACTTAATAAAATAGTATCTTATAATGAGGACCATTTGGGTTCTTTACCCTAAAATTTATAAAAACATGCTATCAACGTTTCTGTTTTCCCATTAAGTTATCTTACAATTTCTCCCAACTGTAGTAGTTGACTTTCCAAAGTAAAATTAGTTTAACATTGAATATTAAAGTATTTTGAGAAGTGCTTTTTAATTATTTAACTTCAAATCAAGTATTTAATATTATTATTAAAAATATTTTTTTTAGATAAATTACACTTTGACATTATCTCCCGTTAATAAGATATCAACCAAAAGTATTTTCCAAAGTTGATCCTTCATAAACAATGGGCATCAAAAGGGTTATGAATGTTTTTAGAGGTAATAAAGTTGATTGAGCTCACACATAATTATTTCTGTATTAGAGATAATTTTCTGGGCAGAAGAGATTATTAATAGTTTAGTTGTTGCATAAAACTAGTTTTTTTATTAAAAATTATAAAGGAAGAGAGAAAAGAAAAGAAGAGTTCAATCCAATACTGTTTTCCTCATTGACATGCTTACTCTTGATGAATCCAATTAAGGCACCAACATGACAATGATTAGAGCAATTACATTATTAATCATTGCAGTTATTATTAATGACTCCATCGTTATTCATACGCAGAGATTAAAGGGTCTAGCCAATTGTAGGAGTATACACAACCAGCCCCTTTTCATCGACCCAAATCCGGACCCTATTGGTCCTGTAGTCCAAAGTCATCGGAGATCCATCCCGCCCCACCGTGACTTTCAGATTAGGATTCTCGCTTTCGATCGTCTTCTTCGCGCTCTCTCCATCTTCGCCCACCAACTCCGGCCACAACTTCTTCTCTGTTCTCAAATTCGAAGGACTCATTACTCAAACTCAATTAAACTGAATCCCTTCCAGAGAAGAAAAAAAAAGCAACACATAAACTGCTCAATACTTACCTGCAGATGCAGTTGCAGTTGCAGTTGCAGCAGACTCAGACATATTGCTTTCTTTTTCACTTTCTCTCCTCCGGAGCTGATTGATTGGATCGGTGAGTGAGTTCGGACTTCACTGGTAGTCTTTAAATAGACTTGGATTTGGTAATTTGGAAAGCGCACAAAATAAGGAAAAATATTAAACATATACATAGTGGAGTTGATGGTCCCGACAGCTGGCCGATATCTTTTAATACTCGTAAAAATATCGCCACCGTACCTTTTGTCCATGCTGCTTTTACATGATTGGTTTTTCTTAAATTACAAAAATATACTCATTAAATGTTGTTAAATTATTATTTTTTATCCGTTAATTTTATTAAAAATAAAGCTTTATAATCATAAACTTAAACTAAACACATAATAATAAAGGTAATTTTTTACACATGAAAAAATTAATTACTTGAGATCACAAAGATCATACAAAGAAAATATTAAAAAATATAGTCAAATAAATTTGGATAAAAATTAGATACGAACAGATATGATTTCATCGACAAAATAACTACAAAAGGGGATAAAACTATTAAAAGACAATCGACAAATCGTAAACAATTGAGCGACATTAAAATACTATCCACAACGTAAATCGTGTATCTATATTTAATCCGAGGGTCAAAGCATGTAAGATTATCATGATAACAAATAAAGCGTTATCTTGATCAGTTGTGACGATGTCAAATCCAAACATAAAAAAAGAATAAATGAAAATAACGGTCGAATGATAAAAAAACATGTCATAAAAACAAAGAAAAACATATTATAAAAGCATAAGAATATATGTCATAAAGACATCATTATTAAAAATAAAAAACAAATATACACTATAATAAAACAAAGAAAAAACAATGAATATCGGTGATCGACGATTAACACTAAGATTAAAGTCATCATCGTTCTGAAAGATGAAAAAGAAAAAAAAAGACTAACTATGACTAAAGGAAAAGTTATTTATTGAATTTTTAAAAATTATAATATGTATATTAAATATTAAATTTTGTTATAAAATACATATAATGCACTAATTGTTAATTATCGTTAGATGAGATAATGCTAGGGAATATTTCCATTAACCCTTTAATTGTTTGTTTTTATAAACTTTTTAATATTTTAAATAATAGTTTTAAAATAAAAAATTTTATAATTTGTTTTTAAGATTATAATTTATAAAATTTTAAAATAAAATAAAAGAATTCAACCATTATAAAGTTCTACTTTTCCCAACATCAAAATATAGCGTATTGATATTTAAGATATGATAAAGTTAAAAGTGATGGAATGCGAATCAATTTGCACGTTCATAAAAGTGTGTGCCGTTGCATTGGGTGAACATATTCCCTTTCATCCAACCCAAAAATGGGGTATTTTGATTTAATAACGAAATTAAAAAACTAACATCAACTTGAAATATTTTGAACATGCCTTCACAATGAAACCGAATATGGACGAACTACCTATCGGAAATGAAGAAATAGAGAATCGAAATTCCGGCGGAACTAGAAAAGAAATACATGTATAACTTGACCTGTTGCGATAAGTGTTGAATTTGTATGTACAAAACGCCTGATAAGACCATCGTGTATCTGTAGCATCATTAACTGTTTTGCTCCGGGATATTCGTCATTGGTTTTTCATCATCGGGGAGTTCAGGGGGTGCATCGGTTGATCGAGTGCGTTCCGATGGGATACTGATATCCGAATGTGGGTCAAAATCCATCTGTATGATGTACAGATTAATTGATCAGATGACACAGAGCAGAGTGACAGCCGGAGAAATCGGTTTCAATATCAGTCGGACTTCGGTTATATTATCGAGCCTTATATAATACACAACTATCGAAACCTAAACCATGTAAGAAGAGCTACACAATGTTAACCATTGTGAACATGTCAATACCATTAGGTTGCATAACAGTACCGTATGATAAGAGATTCACCTAGGAGGGAATTTGCTATCGGCATGAGCTTCGACTCGAAGCCACCACACCAAAACTCGACGTCCGCAGCTTCCGAGTGGTTCCATCATCGAATGGTCTTTAATCAAACCCAACGGATTGTCGATATCACCATCCAACGTATCGATATCCTTGATCCAATCCGGGTTTTCTCCCCCATCTTTCCAAAGCAACCTCGAATTCAAAACAAATCCGGACCACTCGAACTTCCTAGGTGACACGGTTGCTCTATCACCAATATGAACACCAGTTTTCCCTGCATGCCATCCGATCAACATGCCGGGTGCGTTACAGATCGGTCCTTGAACCGGAAATAGATAATTGTCCTCTTCATTGTTCTTTCGGTCAGCCGTCTCATCGGCATTAGCCGTCTTTACAAGCATTCCAATTGAAACTGCCCCAAACCATTTCAAGTTTTGGATTTCATCGAACAATTCCATGTTATGCACATTACTATCATCAGCAAACATAACAATTCCATCCAATTTCATGTCTCTTACTATTCTTCTCCAGAATAAACACAGAAATTGAATTAATTCTAAATTTCTAATAACCTTAATTCCAAAATGCACAAATTAAAAATTAAATAAACGATTTACCTTAAAGCACGAAGGCTCATTTGGGACTCCTATTCGGCTCGTTCGTCCCAGGAATTGGGCATCCGCTGATTGAACCCGGCATGGATGGTTTGCAAACCGGATTTCGCTATGAGCTACGCCATTTCGTTGCTGACTCCGCCGGCTTCCACCACGATCCAAACCAGGCTGTACGGGACCAGCATTAACGAGTGCATCAAGCGGTTTTCCCGGTTATCGACTCTCGGGTGTATACGAGAGTGAGAAGGAAAGCTATGGTGAAGAAGGAAATGAAAGCGAGAAGCCATAACTTGCTGGAACTTCCTTGTTTTTGGATGTAAGGATGGAGGAGAATTAGCTTGGTATTGCTGGTATTGTTCTTCATTTTTTTAACGAGTTTTCACTTGAAAATCTGAAAAATGTTTGATTTAAACAAAAAGATGTACATAAGGTAACATCATGGTGGTTCAGATAACCTAATATTAAATATTCTAGAAACCAAACTTTACCTTAAAAGGCCATCTTTTAAAAGCTGTTGGCTTTGTTTCCATGCAATTTCTATACGTTGGTTCGGTATTTTTTTATGTACACGTAGGGCGAAGTTAAAAATTAGGTAAAATGATATCCCAAGTCCCGTACTTTAAAAAAGGTTCATGTAAAAAAAATCTAATTTAATCTTTTTTATCAACGTTTTTGTTATTGACCAACAATTTTGTCAATCCTCGTTAACATGACATACCAAACAGATCAACACCCTCAATTTAATGCAGTGTTTTGAAAATCGGATCGGACCAGTCGGTTCATCCGGGAACCGTTGTCTAATTTGGTTCAATCTAGACCGGTTGAATCGTTACTAGTGAACCGGCCGGAACCGTTGAACCGTTCAAACCGGTCCGACTGAAAACCAGGAAAAACCGGAAAAAACCGCCAATTTTATTTTATTTTTTTAAAATTAAACCAAACGACGTCGTTTGTTAAACAAGCCAAGTCGAACTCGAGTATTGCTGAGCTCGACTTGAACTTGAAAAATTTAAAAGTAAGCTCAACTCGACTCAAACTCACGAGCTAAAAATTATCAAGTTCAACTCGAAGTCGAAATATAATATTGAAACTTGAACTCGAAAAGGCTTGAACTAAAAAAAAATTAGAAGCTCGATTGAAGCCTAAAATTCGAGCTTGATTGAAGTGAAAGAATAGCCCACTCAATGCTCACCAAAAGGCTCCATGATTTTGAATGTCAAATTACATATATTATTTATAGAAGTTAGTTGGGATGATCTTCTATGTTTCTTAGCTATGTGGAATTGTTTTTAAAAAAAATTAAACCAAACAATATCACTTTATTATGATTTTTTTAGCCCCAAATTTATTTTTTAATTATAGTTATATAATTATATTTATTATTTAATATGTTTTACCTAAATATTATGTTGTAGTTAATTTGAATCATTTTGTTTCACTTGATTTTATGGTTTTTAACTTATATATGTTATGACTTGCTTTGAATATGAATTGTGATATAAAAAATTATTTTTTATTAAATATTTTTGGTATTTTTATTTAATTTTTTAAATAATTATGACGTCGTCCGGTCGGACCGATTGAACCAGTGAACCGGTAGCATGACCGGTTCACTAATCAGTCCGATTCGCTAATCAGTCCGGTTCTAAAAACCATGATTTAATGTTAACCGGATGTTTATTGAGTTTATAAACCAAAACTGAACTAAACTCAAAGCATTAAATGGAAGGCCAAATCAGCATTAAACGGAGGGTGTTGGTCTTCTTGACGTATCATGTCGGTAGAAATAATGAACATGTTGGTATGATAGAAGATGTTGGTTAAAGAGTTAAATTAGATTTTTTTGAGTTGGAGCATCATATTAATAAAAAAATAATACAATAATTATATTAATTTTTTATAAAAAAAAAATAAGGGCTTCGCGTACCCATATATTTAATTTGATCGATAATTTAAACAATCAAATTATAAAATTGACTTGATAATTGCAAAATTAAATTTAAATGATTTTTAGATCGAATTTAATTAAATTAACAATCAAAATCTTAAAGTGTAATTAATAAATTAATTTTGGTGAATAATGGTGAAACAATGTGGTTGGAAGGTGAGGGTTGGGGACTATCGTTTGCGACGCAATAACTAATTACAAGCCAAAAGTCGTTTTTTTCATCAATTTCAGGTTTAGTTTTAAAGAAACCTTTATCAATATAAAATTGGATTTCTTAAATAATTAGTTACCCTTGAAGTTGACCATTCACCTGCTTTCAGATTCCCTTTCGAAGAAACAAGGCATTAAGATGGAATTAAAGTTGCATAATCAAATAACGAAAATTTGGTGAATATTTCTTTTGGATGGGTTCTGCCGTCTGACAAACAAATTATTTTGAGTTCTTATCATTGTTTGAATGAAAAATCCCAGACTTGTTTATGATAAGAAGCTCTTGACTGTAATTAAATAATTTAAGTAAGTTATTAAAATTGAAAATAAACAATGACATGACAAAATTTAGAAAAAAAAGATATTTTAGGAATTCTTCTTACGAGTCCTTTATGTTCTCCAACTGAAAACTTTAGATTTAATATTATTTTCGTACGAGTATTTTAGTGGCTATTGTCTCTAATTTTCTATCCATATTTTGATATTTTGTACGATTGATTTGTTCTGTTATTAATGAAATGCAGTTGCTATCGTTAAAAAATATATATTTAATACAAATGTGAAAGAGTCAAAACATCTCCATTCCTCATCTTCAAGAGAGATGGAAGTGAAAGGGCAGTAAGAGCAGACATTAAAGGAAACAGCAGACGAGGTTATTCTTGATAAGTAGAGGCTCGGGCTTTGTTGCCTTTTCAACAGCTGAAGAAGCATCTCCAGATGTATGATATTTTTTTGTTTTCCTTTTCCCATGGTCTTTTAACAGATTTTCTCTCTTCTTTTCTATTGATTTGTTCCTGACATTGGTCCTGTGTTGTAGCTCGTGGAGATGAATGGTAAAACTTTAGTTAGCCAAAAAATTTCATGCCAATGCTTTATCCCGGGAAGAAGAATCAACGCCAAGGAATGCGAAGATCAGGATGTGCCCCGATGCAAAAAAACACTTCCCATGAGGCAGCCAAAGGTTTATGGGTTTCCTTTCTAAAACTGCATATCGATATTGTATCTTACATTCTCACTGCGACATCTATGTATTGATGCTCTCTATTGATCGGAGTCCACTGACCAGCGAACAGGCGATCAATCGTCACTCGTCAGAATAGCGAACATGCAAACCACCGGAACAACAGATAAACAGCTCACAATAAGCGCTCAATCTGCAGGAGAAAAGTAAAGTGGAGAAAAGAACGTTTGGGCCGCTCCTCTCTCTGGGTTTTTTATAGCCCATGATAGGCCTAACAAACTGACAATCTTTCTCAGTCTGCTAAGCCTAACGGGCTGTTATAACAAGCTAACCCACTGACTTCAACCACTTAAAGCGACAGAAGAAATTGAATTGACTTTTAGTTTTGACAAAAATGCACCAGAGGTCATGAACTTTTGAAAATAACCAATATGTTCATCATATTTTTTTTCTCTCAACGTGGTACTCCAACTCAGAAAATAAACTTAATGTGATCATTTGACCAACGATTTTTTGTCGTTGACCATTACAATGTTGACGTGATAATTCACAGTGTTGATATAACAGTCCACGATGCTGACATGACAGTCCACAATGACAAATTAATATGGCGGATGACATGACAGATTGATTATATTGGTAAATCAAACACAACTTATAGACTGTCACATTAACACTGTGAATTGATACGTCAGTATTGTAATGGTTAAAGACGAAAAAGGTTGGTCAAAGGACCACATTAGATTTGTTTTATGAGTTAGAGAGACACATTGTGACAAAAAAATATGATGGTCACATTGATTCCCCCCGAAGTATAAGAACTTCTGATGTCTTTTTTGCCTTTAGTTTTTAACATGAATCAAACGATCTTAATGATTAAAGAATTATTATTATCATTTGTCATTTGAAATTGAGTAGGACGTCTGTAAGTGTGTATTCTTTGTCTAATAATTAAGACTTAATGATATTTCAAACAAATATTATCCTGTATTTAGTTCGTATTAGTAAAAAAACTTTTAGTTTCTACGTACCGTTATCCTCCATGTTACAACATGTCCGATGCTCCTGGACGCATGCTTCCAGTTTCTTGGTACCGACAGGGTTGGACTAAAGGGATCTGACGGTGGCGGTTCTTCCATGAACAGGCCTAACCATCAAGGTTGTTCAATTCTCATTAAGACTAATATCCAACTTGTACTCTTGTAATCTCTTATAATAATTAGGGTAAACTATACGGGAGACCACTGAACTTTTTTTTCATATTGATCACTGAAGTTTCGATTTGATCAATCAAGCCACCCAACTATTTAAATGATTCAATCAAGTTACTGGTCATTAATTTTTAACGGAAGTGGTGACGTGACAATTAATAAATTGACATAATTATATATTTGATACTTAATATTTACACATTCTATCAATTTAATCACTATTTTAATTAAATTAAATAAATTTAACACTCTAATATGATAGTGTCACTTGTCATTAATTGATTGGAGGGTTATTTTAATTAATTTTAATATTTGGTGACAAAGAAAACTCATTTTAGAGCCTTTTCCATTGGACCAAGTAATCTATTTAGTTATAAGTTGCACAATATTTTATATATCCACTGTCGCATCTTTGTCAGTCAAAATTATGTATTTAATTTACGATGATAATTGTAAACTCATATTGTAATTTTGAATATTTTTACTTTTTAATAAGACTATAGGCTTCTATTAAAAAAATGTAAAGTTAACTGTCAGAACTGAGAATGAGTATTCGATCGAGTGGAGTAAAAAAATTAAGTTAATCAAATTGGTGAATCATACTTTATCATTCAAACTATATTTGACTTTTTTCAAGTCAAGTTGAATTTATGAAATTCGAGTCGAGTTGATTCGAGTTGCTTGAGTATCTATTCAAATTCAATAGTAATTATTTATAATATTATGATATGAACTTGTTCCAATGTATCGACTTTCTCTAACCATATAAGATATACATATATTTTTATATTCATTTTCACTTTATAATATTATTTAATAAATAAAAAACCAACTAAATAATTAATATATTTATAATAGCCTTTTTTAAAAGAATTTATTTTGAGGATAAAGTATTAATAGAAATATAAAGGGCTGAAGAAATTAATGAGAAAAATAATTTGCAAAAAAAATACAATTGACCGATCAAATTGAATAGAATATAAAATTAAGGGATAAAATTGGAAAAAGAGTAAATTTATTATTAAAAATAATAA